AATACAATATACAATGCATTTTCCACATTTTTAATGGAAAAGGAGGAACATACAAGTATACGATACAGAGATAATACAATTTAAAAATTGATATTTCCAAAATGATTATTTTATGTGTTCTTCTGGTTTCAATTTTTAGCTTTTCGATCTTCACCTTCTTACAAAGAAGCTACATATTTAAATTTTTAAAAAAATGCAAAAGAAACCTCTTTCAATAAATATTATACATAAACACTGAATAGCCTTTTCATCAATCTAATATTCAGTTCACAGTAAGGAGAAAGACACTTTAATGACATTTAACAATTACAGTCAAAAGGCGTTAATTCGGACACCCATAATCCGGAATGATCTATAATCCGGACCTCAAAGCTACAAACTTTCTGCGCATGCGTCGCATTCATTTACAGGTGCGAATATGTTTGTGCACATGCGCGTTTAATGTGTAACTAACGGTATAAGCTAAGCTAAAATTATTTAATCATTCGTTAATGTTTGCAGATTGCATTGTTGTTCCTTAATCTTCGAATTGGATCCGGCTTATTATTTTTGCAGACTGTTAGAGCAATTTCCATAAAAAGTAAGCTTGAACTTTCGATTATGTCAAATAGAATTTCCGATATATATTTACTAATATGTAATTTGTATCTACAAAGCCAAAAGTATGTTTGAAATCCGAAATCTGTTATCAATTTCACGCAGCATATTGGAAGTTGATCTGTCAGCACTATCCTTATCTTCAGGCAGATGTTTTTATTTTATATTTGGCTATAATTCCTTACTAAGTGTAGTATTTCATCTTGATGTACTCTGTCTTTGATATGATTTAAAACAAGTTAAAACAAGTTTCCTCGTCATTATAATTCGCTTCCGATAGTGAAGAAATGACCCAGAGTTATTGAAAACGAAAACATTTCGATTGACAATTAGTCGGTATTCTCAACACAGCAATTATAGGACTTGAACAGCGGAACTTTGTAACTAAGCAAGAAATTATGTCTGTTTAATAGAATTAAAGAGAAAGTATTATCACATGAAACAAAGCAACTTACATTGAAAGAAATGTTTAACAAAGTAAACAAATAAATATTAAGCTTTTTCTTTTTGCAAATTTTGATACCCTTTAGATCATAATTGTTCTTTATTTCATAAATTACGGTTTGATATTTTTAATTTTGTAATTTCTGCATGCCATCTTACCAGATTTAAACTGATGATCTATAATCCGGAAAAATCGATAATCCGGAATCGCCGAAGTCCCGACGAGTCCGGATTAACAACTTTTGACTGTATCAAATTGCTTCCATTTCCCTCTTTTCATAATTTCCGTGGCATTAAGAGAGATCAATGTTCTTTTCTACTTTTAAATAACATCGTAAATTAAGATATTGCAGAACCTGTTGCTCATTATTATTTTATTAAAATTTTAACAAACTAAATTTGAAAACAGGAAGTAAAATTTTTTATTTACCTCATTACTAATTTCTGGAATATCTTCCAGCTGATTCTGTTCTTCGAATTCATGTTTAACTATAACTGCATGCAGAAAAATTTAATGAAATTATAATAATGCATACACATTTTCAGACATTTAATATTTTCAAATATATTTCACTTAGCTGCTTATATGATAAGTTAATTCATTACTTTACGTTCAAGATCAATTTCTTCTCAAAATTACAAAAAAAAAGGGACAAACTTATTTTTTATTCTCAATTTATAATTACCTGTCGTGGGTACCTCAGTAGGAACACTTTTATGATTACTATATGATGTGCTTATTTCCTTATTTATTCCATTCTCTTCCTAAAAAATAATTCACAAATTGTGTTTCATAACATGTATTTAACTTGTTTAAATTTCAGGGTCAAGGTATTCGAAAACTGCCAGAATAAAATATAAATATATTTTAACACATGGCACAGATAATCAAAAATACTTGATTTTAACCTTCCACGTACAGCTTGCTTTTTATAATTTCTGCTTCTGAAATACGGGATGACATTTTTTAATTAAAATTTTCTCACTCTCCACTAATTATTCACATCACTATGGGTTACTTCTACCATCTCTTACTGGACAGTTTATAAATAATACAATAATTTTAACTGCTTTTGCATTTTTAAGCTACATATAATAATATATAATAAACTACACTCTGTGGCACAAAAGCCATTAGCACAACAGCCATGGCTTGCATTGCCCTATTATATGCTTTCTTGACCGTGGGACCTGGAGTGCATGAACATATGCCCTGGACTAGTGGTAACCTATTCCATGCGGTGTTTAGTCCCCAAGTGAACTTGATATTCATATCATCCACGAACTGAAGCGATTTATAAGGCAACCTTGCCCTGTCCAGGGCTTGTGGACTGTGGTGCTGTTGCATGACATGGCAGCCACTTCACCAATATATAATACAAGGCACATAATTACAGATGGTATGATTTATAAGTTTAAAAAATTCACACAATAATTTTATTCTTAGGCCCTTTATGCATTATCTTCCCACTTTTATCTTTATTTAAACAGTAATTTTCACACTGTCTTCTAGTTTCCTTTTCTATAAGACTTGGTAATATATGCCTGGCAAAACACCTTTCGACAAAGCTAATAAGGCCCTTCAGTGGAAGATTTTTATGACCACATTTGAAGCTTTTATGCAACTTTTTTGCAAATGGACCTCGTAAAGACATCTAACATTGAAATAAAGAATAGATAATGAGTTTTATCTTGCACAAAATCAAAAGGAGAAAACAAATATTTGCTCACAATTTTCATGTGAATCCTAGCAATAGATAAAATTGATAACCCTGCTCAGATTGAAGCCATATGCGAAGTTTTTTTTTTTTTTTTTTTTTTTTTTTTTTTTTTGACTGTTTAAATACTGGCAAATGGGCAGGTCACTTGCAAGTTTTTATGGATTTCCAATGTATAATGTAAAACAGTTTCCTTTAGTAAGCCCTTCAGGATCTCTCACATGTTTTGCCAAAAATCCAAGTAATCCAATCAAACCATGCAGTCAACAGCCAACTCACCTCCCAAAATTTGATTCAGGGTTGATTTATCAGAGTTCCGTAGCTTTCCCACTGGTGGGAGCTGCAAGCCATGAAGTCAAAATATTGCAGATGAACTGATTTTATACTAATAATTCAACAAATTTAGAAATAATAATAATCAATTGATAATTATAACAAATTATTTTAATCTGAGACCACAAATATCCTTGTAATATTATCAGTTGCACACATACACAAATATTTACATACATATACCCTTCTACAGGTAAAAGATGAAGTAATTTCAGGTCTTCTGTAGACGAGTACTCAGAAATAGAAAAGAGTATTGTAATCGAAAATAGTATTGCATTCATGGCAGTAGAACATCCTATGACATAAAGAAATTGCAAATTGTAAAGCACTAAAGCAGAATTTAGCCCTAGATTTGAATTATGGTGATAATGTAAAATGGGTACTTAAGTATTTAATGCAACCACCTTACTTGAAGTCGTCAAACTTTCCGAATGTGCCAAACTCTGGCAACCATTCGCATAACCATTCTTATGGTAAGCATACTCACAACAATCTTTCAGTTAAGCACTGCAGTCATTTCCATAAGTATTCATTTTAGTTGTATTCCAAGATCCAACAGTTTTTATAAACAAACCATGATATGTTTTGCCTTTGTGGAATTTGCCAGTAATGGAAGAAACTCCGGTAAAATTTCTGCAGAAATACAAATTTTTCTAAAGCGAACAGTGAGAAAATGCATTTCTTACATACATCTTGTTGCCAAAGTTTGTACCTGACCAAGTCTCCACTCCTCTGGTAAGTATTTAAGTGAAAACAGATCACAGAGTACTTCAGGATAAGACTAGTGCAAAAAAATTACTCAAATATTTGAAGAAGAATGTTAATGTTTTATATTTTAATGTATCATAAAATTCTGATTTAATAATCAAAATTTGTATTTTAAATTGCTAAGGTATATTTTCTTTTCATATGTTTATAATGTATAAAAACTTACAATACATATCGATAGTTTGGAAATCTTTTTAAGAAAAGGAATGAAGACGAAGTTTAAAAATGCACAAAATAATTTTATTCTTAGTAAAATTTAATTTTTAACTAATTTGTTGCAAAAATTTTGACAAAAACTTTCCAATAAAACAGAATATATATATATATATATTTATTCCTGTGATAAACTCTGAAGTATGACTTCAAACATAATCCAACCTGATACTCATGACACCAAACACAAAGCCCCTTTGTGCATTTTCTTCCCACTTTTATCTTTGTTATTAAAACAGTAAATGGCACATTATCTTCTACTTTCTTTTTCTATAAGACTTGGTGATAAATGGCTGGCAAAATGCCTTTCGACAAAGCTAGTAAGGCCCTTCACTGGAACATTTTTATGACCGCATTCGAAGCTTTTATGCAAATTCTCTGCAAATGGATCTCGTAGAGACATCTAGCATTGAAATAATGAACAGATAATGAATTTTATCCTGCGCAACATCGGCTGGGGGGGGGAATATTTGCTCACAATTTTCATGTGAATCATAGCAACAGATAAACTTGATAACCCTGCTGAGATAGAAGCCGTATGCAAAGTGTTAATGTTAGTTTTCTAAAAACATATCTTTAATACAACAGATCTACGTTTATGATAAGAAAATAGATTGCTTAAATGTTATGAAATTCGCAAACCACCAAAATAAATAATTTGCATTATGGTAAAGTGAAAGAATGCTATCTGCTTAAGGAAAGACATGACTTCTAAGAAAACTGTACATATTGATATTATGCATGAGGAAAACCATAAAAGCTCTTATGCAGCTGCCTATCAGCAAGCAAGCAATAAAATTACTGAGCATTACAAGTTTGACTGTTTAAATCCTGGCAAATGGACAGCTCACTTGGAAGTTTTCATGGGTTTCCCATGTATAATGTAAAACAGTTTCCTTCAATAAGCCTTCACATATTTTGCCAAAAAATCAAACTAATCCAATCAAATCATGCAGCCAACAGCCAACCCATTTACCAAGATTTGATTCTGGGTTGGGCTATCAGAGTTCCGTAGCTTTCCCATTTGTGGGAGCTGCAAGCTACGAAGTCAAAATATTGCATTTAAACTGATTTTATGCTAATAATTCCCCAAATTTAGAAATAATAATAATCAACTGATAATTATAACAAATTATTTTAATCTGAGACCACAAATATCCTTGTAATATTATCAATTGCACACATACACAAATATTTACATACATATACTCTTCTACATGTAAAAAAAAGATGAAATAATTTCAGATTTTCTGCAGCCGAGTACTCAGAACTAGACAAGAATATTGTAAATGTACTGAACTCAAAACGAGTACTATATTCATGGCAGTAGAGCATCCTACGGACATAAGGAAATAGCAAATTGTAAAGCACTAAAGCTGAATTTAGCCCTAGATTTGACTTATGGTGATAATGTAAAATGGGTACTTAAGTATTAGTGCAACCACCTTACTAGAAATCGTCAGATTTTCTGAATGTGCCAAACCCTGGCAACCATTCACATAACTATTCTTATGGCAAGCATACTCACAACAATCCTTCATTTCAGCACTGCAGTCATTTCCGTAAGTGTTCATTTTTGTTGTATTCCAAGATCGAACATTTTTTGGAAAAAAACCACAATAGGTTTTTGCCATTATATTTAAAATGTGAGCTTGTGGAATTTGCCAGTAATGGAAAAACTCCAGTAAAATTTCTGGAGGAATACAAATTTTTCTAAAGCGAACAGTGAGAAAATGCATTTCTTACATACACCTTGTTGCCAAAGTTTGTACATGGCCAAGTCTCCACTTATGTGTATGTTTTTAAGTGAAAACAAATTGCTGAGTACTTCAGGATAAGACTAGCACAAAAAAAAAAAAAAAAAAAAAAAAAAAAAATACTCAAAGATATAGAGAAGAATGTAAATGCTCTGTATTTTAATGTATGATAAAAATCAAAATTTGTATTTTAAATTGCAAAGGTATATTTTCCTTTCATATGTTTATAATGTATAAAAACTTACAATACATATCAATAGTTTGGAAATCTTTCTAAGAAAAGGAATGAAGACGACGAACTTCACATAATTAAGTAGCTTTTTTCCTTTCCATTTACATAAATCGCAAATTGCACCAATGTGTTAACATGTAAAAAGCGTAAGATATATATACAAGTAGGAAGATATTGTGTATAAGTAAAAAGAATATTATTGCAACAAATAATGCCTTTGAAATACCTAAAATAAGAACGTAAGTGAATCTTTACATGGTTTAATGTGCTGTATTTATCATTTAAGGCAGCTCTTCAGAAATACAATATACTATGTATTTTCACATTTTAATTAAGAGAGGTCAATGTTCTTTTCTACTTTTAAATAATATTGTAAATTAAGATATCGTAGAACCTGTTGCTCATTATAATTTTATTAAAATTTTAACAAAGTTAATTTGAAAACAGGAAGTAAAACTTTTTATTTACTAATGTTTTCATCATTTCCATATCATTAAGAGAGATTAACGTTATTTTCTGCTTTTAAATATCATAAGTAAATTAAAATATTGAGCCTGTTGCTCATTTTTATGTTACTAAAATTTTAACAAAGTAAATTTTAAAACAAGAAGTAAAACTTTTTAGTTACCTCATCACTAATTTCTGGAATATCTTCCAGCTGATTCTGTTCTTCATATTCAAGTTTAACTACAACTGCATGCAGAAAAATTTAATAAAATTATAATAATGCATACACATTTTAAGACACTTAATATTTTCAAATATATTCGACTTAACGGGTAACATGATGAGAAGTTAATTCATTACTTTACATCCAAGATCAAATTCTTTCTCAAAAATTACAAATAAAAAAGAACAAACTTATTTTTTATTTTTAATTTATAATTACCTGTCGTGGGTACCTCAGTAGGAACACTTTTATGATTACTATATGATGTGCTCATTTCTCTCTTCATTCCATTCTCTTTCTAAAAAAAAAATTGAGAAATTGTGTTTCATAACATGTTTAACCTTCTTTAAATTTCAGGGTTAAGATATTCAAAAATTGCCAGAACAAAAGATAAATATATTTTAATACATGGCAAAGATAATTAAAAATACTTTACTTCCACATGCAGCTCGCTTTTTATAATTTCTGGTTCTGAAATATGGGATGACTTTTTTCTTTAAGTAAAATTTTCTTAGTCTTCACTAATTACTATTCTCATCACCATGGATTACCTCTACCATATCTTACCTTGACAGTTCTTAAATAATACAGTAATTTTAACTGTTTTTGCATTTTCAAACTACATATAATATAAACTAAACTACCCTCCGTGGCACAACAGCCGTTACAGTGCCAATGCCTGCAGTGCCCTATTATCCAATTTCTTAACCATGGGCCCTGGAGTACATGAATATATGCCCTGGACTAGTTGTCATCTTGTTCTGCGTGGTGTTTAGTCCTTAAGTGAACTTGGTACTCATATTATTCACCAACTCAAGAGATGAAAGGCTAAGGCAACCTTGGCCTGCCCCGGCAGCGTAATGGCAGACCACACATTCAGCTGATAGTGTTAAGCGAATTTCACTTACTGCATATGCTTGATGGTGCCTTTGGCGCAAGGAGAAATATTGGCGAGTAAGCAACCCTATACTAGCTTATTCGTGATGTCCATTGCTGTCGAGTCTGGTTCAGTGTGTTTACATTTACAATATTATGGAACTTTCGTATTTTAAACTGATTGAATTTGCTTTTTTTCTAATATACTTTCATTTTATTTAGGCTAATTTGCCGATAACAGTACATTAATATTTGTCAACGTATTTGCATAATTCATATTTAGATTAATTTTTTTACATCTTAATTCAGTAAAGTAAACTGGATTTTGTCCCTAGTTTGTTAATGAATGTTGGAGCTTTTATTTTCTTATTTCAAAGAATTAAATAAACAGCATTAAGTAATTGTAAAATTCTTCAGTGTTATTTACAAGCACTTGCTATATTCCTCCATATTTCTGTATGTATGTACGAATGGAACATGTGGCCTGAATTGATTTTATTCATTAAAAGTATAATGAATAAAATTTCAACTATTAACTTGATGGTGCCTTTGGCGCAAGGAGAAATATTGGCGAGTAAGCAACCCTATACTAGCTTATTCGTGATGTCCATTGCTGTCGAGTCTGGTTCAGTGATGTTTACATTTACAATATTATGGAACTTTACGTACTAGTTATTTTAACGTCCATACTGATTGAATTTGCTTATTTTTCTAATATACGTTTCATTTTAATTTAGGCTAATTTGCCGATAACAGTACATTTAATATTTGTCAACGTATGTTGTGCATAATTCATTATTTAGATTTAATTTTTTTACATCTTATAATTCAGTAAAGTAAACTGGATTTTGTCCCCTAGTTTGTAATGAATGTTGGAGCTTTTATTTCTTATTTCAAAGAATTAAAAAACAGCATTAAGTTGTAAAAATTCTTCAGTGTTATTTACAAGCACTGCTATATTCCTCCATATTCTTATGTATGTACGAATGGAACATGTGGCCCTGAATTGATTTTATTCATTAAAAGTATAATGATAAAATTTCAACTATTAACTTGATGGTGTACATTTGGCGCGGGGAGAAATATTGGCGAATAAGCAACCTTACATTAGCTTATTCGTGATGTCCGTTGCTGTCGAATCTGGTCCAGTGATGTTTACAATTTCAATATTATGGAACTTTACGTTTACTTGTTATTTTAACGTCCATACTGATTGAATTTGCTTTTTTTTCTAATATATGTTTCATTTTAATTTAGGCTAATTTGCTGATAACGGTGAATTTAATATTTGTTAACATATGTTGTGCGTAATAATTCGTTATTTAGATTTAATTTGTATACATGTTATAACACAGTAATGTAAACTGGATTTTCTCGTCTAGTTTGTTAATGTATGTTGGCTTTTTTTTTCTTATTTCAAAGAATTAAATAAACAGCATTAAGTAACTGTAAAATTCTTCAGAGTTATTTACAAACACTTGCTATATTCCTCCTCCATATTTCTTATGTATTACGAATGGAACATGTGGCCTGAATGATTTTATTCATTAAAAGTATAATGAATAAAATTTCAACTATTATATCCTGCAGTGTCTATTAAATTTCAGTCTTTTTTAAAAAAAAATAATTTGTACAGTGCCTGAGGAATGTGCAAAATTTTCTAAATTACTTCCGTGTAATTAAATGTTGGCATTCAAAATGTGCAAATTAAATGTTTGCATTCAAAATCTTACATTTTGAATGCAAACATTGCTTCACATTATTTCGTAATAATTAAATAATTATTTACATTCTCTCCCTCTATGCCTGCATCAGTTTTTATCAGATTATTTATCAATAATTTCAGGTAGAATAAGAAATATATATATATGATTAGAAAATTTTTTTCGTATATTGTCTCCGAGAAACAGAAATTTAATTAAAGCAATTAATTATTGGAATGAATTTTAGTCAGTATAAAGTTATTTAGAATTCTACTATAGTAAAAAATATGTTATTTAGATTCTTTTGATTTCTGTTATTTAGATTCTGTATATACACTGGTGTGCAAAAATTAAGGACGAAGTCGAAAAATTAGCATATCAGCTGAACGAAGAGGCAGATCGGACAGAAAGACCAATCAGGAGATTAAGTAAGGTGATGTACGGTAGCACATGCGCAGATATGCAGGTAGACGTAATGGGGGAGTGTCTGAGTAGTATAAAGCATGTTGTCGGTGTAAGATCAGTATTTCTGGCAAAGAGATTGCACGCCGTATAGCAGTTAAAATCACACTGAGTTGCTGCCTCAGCGAGAAATGGCGAATAATCAATCTGTTAGATGATATCTGGATGCTTTCACCCGAGGTCGAATCATTGGGAAGTTGGAGGAAGGCCGCAGTGTGACAAGTGTGGCTGCAGAGTTCGGAATTGCTCACAGCATCGTTTCACAACTTTGGAGACAATTTCAAACTACAGGAACAGCTATCCGGGGGTTTAGTAGTGGTCGTCCACGAGGAACCACACCTGCAGATGACCGCTATATTGCCTTACAGGCCAGAAGAAACAGGCGGCAGACAGCGGGAGAATTCGCTAGACACAACGAACACAGGCGACTGGACGAACGATATCGCGTTTTTACCGTGGCCAGAAGACTGCATGGTGGTGGTTGTTTGCACAACGCCCTGTACGGTGTGTACCTCTAACGCCTGCCCATCGGAGAAGAAGGCGTTCTCTGTGGTGCCGGGAACACCGGAATTGGAGAGACATGAATGGAGACGAATACTCTTTACAGATGAGAGCAGATTCAGTCTGAGTAGCGATTCTCCATCGCATACTCATCTGGAGAGAGCGGGCAAGCCGCAATCATCCTCGAACATCATTGAAAGGGACAGGTATGGGGAGGTGGCGGTGTGTTCTTGTTTTGGGGAGGCATCATGCTTGGTAGTCGTACAGACTTCACATCTTCGACGCAGGTTTCAATCAACGGGACCCGTTATTGTAACGAGATTCTTCTTTCCATATGTGCGTCTTTTTAGAGGGGCTATGGGTCCGCAGTTCCTTTTCATGGACGACAATGCACCATGTCATCGCACAGTAGCTGCCGAACAGCTCTTTAGAGAGTGAGGATACTGAACGTATGGATTGGCCGGCACGATCTCCGGATCTCAATCCCATCGAGCATGTATGGGATTTTCTAGGCAGATGCTTGGCAGCTCGTACCTTACCACCAGTAACAATTCCGGAGCTTCGATTGCCGCTGCAAGACGAATGGGCAGCAATGCCTCAACAACTCATTGACACCCTCATTCTCAGCATGGCCAGACGCTGTGAAACCTGCCTAGCAGTCAGGGGAGATCATATCTCCTATTAAAGACCGAATGTTTCTTGCTGGACATCCATCACGGGATGTTTCAGCCTTCAGTCGCATTGCGCTCCATGCTACTTTTTTCAATAAAGCTTTCTTTTATCCCTCTGATTTCTCTTTAGTAAGTGTTGCTTACATTACTCATGTCCTTGCGTATTGAGGATCTTACGGTATTAAATGTGTTGATTCGGAAAGCTTTTGTACAAAGTTATTTTGAAAAAACCGTCTCGTCCTTAATTTTTGCACACCAGTGTAGTTCTATTGTATTAAAAATTATTTAAAAGCTGCATAGAAATATTATTTTGAACAGTAAAAATTTTAAATAGCAAAATTAAAAGTAAAATTTAAAGTACTTAAAAGGTAGCTATTGTCATTGATCTTAGATTAATTGACTTGTCAAAGGAAACAAATCAATCCAATATACATATATATATGTGTGTGTGTGTGTAAAAATTTTGGAAAAATTCTCCTTATAAAATCCGATATATATATAATATATATATATATATTATGGCATTCAGTAGATAAACAATATATTTTTTTATTCTGGGAGTGGGCATGGGGGATTAACATTCTTATTAATGGTGATATAATCAAATTACAAAGAATCATTGCAAGTAAAAGATATTTTACCAGTTCTTCGAATTTAGATACTTTTCTGAATATTCCAAGCATTTAAAAGAAATATATTTCATAACATTTTACATATGATACAACTGTGGCTGTATTCATATTTCCTGAAGTTCAGAATGTCTGCAGAAATGCATATTTTGGTCTATGAATTAGTTGCCTTACTAAGTTAAGAAATAAATTTTTCTTCAAGAGGAATTAATACCCCTTTCTCATGTCGATTTTTAATAACAGATGGCGCTATGAACGTTGAACAATAAAGAGTCAAATCTGCAAAACTACCTACAGCCTGGTTACTATGACAATGATGCTTTCCTTCCTCTGTGCTCGTTTGATGGGAAAGTAAGTAAGCCATAAAACACTTAAACACATCCCCTCAGTTGAACAAAAGACCTGCTGTCATTTCTTCCATCTGTGACTCGGACTGCAGGGTATGTTTTGACCAGG